TTGCCCCCATTTTAAAACACTAGAACAATCGTTATAAAATATTAAGTGTCATTTTGTTTGAGGAAAGAATGCAGTCAAAGGGACATTGCACTGTATTATGTTATAAAATATTAATAGTATCATTTTAAAACATGTTTTCGGCTCATATTGACAGGCAGGCACATTTTCAAGGGATGTAGAGTTCCAAAGTTTGCATAGTCACATACCCTCATTATGACATATTAGTACAACACCTGATGGACATAAAATATTATGATTAATATTTCTGCACAGACGGTCCTTGTTGCTAGCAGGAAATCATTGACACGTAAGGATGTGCTAGATATAACACGTGAAATGCTTGAAAGGCTAGAGGCTCATTTGTGTGCTTTGGGTCAATTCACAGTGTGTAAAATCTCCTCCCAACATTTCACTTGTTTCAAAAACAATTGGTTCGTGATTAATTTCATGGCAGGTACATGCCAACATGAGGGGAAACTCTGCAGAGGAAGTAGCTGAGCGCGTATTGAGCCGAAATTCCTTATCAGGGTTGCAGGTACAGACTAAGAGTGTTACTGGAGAGTTTAATAGAGCAGAAAATTATCTTACTACCCTTTGACAGAGGGATAGTAATCACACTCCATAAACTATTTGCTACTCAATTCCTGACTAACTTAGGCATGCCCTGTGCATATAAATCAATGTAGGGGCCCGCAGTAAGTCCAGTATTTTGCAAACGGAATGGCCAAGTAACTGCAGATTACTATGCAATAGTCATATGTGTACCGAAGAAGGCATTTATGAGTCTGTGCAGCAGCTGCGGGAGGTGAGATTCATGTACCATATATCATTATATTCTTGTAAAAGATATAAAGCCACACACATGCACTCTTTTTATAATTTGGCAAAGATTCCACCCTTTTAATCCTTCTTGTCCCAAATTATTTGTCATTTTAGGAAATTTCTAAAATTTCACACAAGGAAAAGGACTAATCTACTCTGCTTTTTAATATCTTTTAGGTCTCTTCGTCATTGATATATGTTATTTCTACATATAAGCATCTCAAATCATGTGGCATCAATCAAAAAAATAATATACAATGTATGTTCCGATTAGCATCAAACAAGTAAAATAATATATAAACAATATACCATCACATATTCTATTAATATAAGAAAATACATTAAAATAGTTTCAAAGAAAAAACATTATAATAAATTATGATAAAGCATCAAATATTGAACTAATTCAAAAATATACAAATCAATAATAGCATAATTTAGGATTTAAAGTAAATAATAAAAAAACCTAAGAATTGCGAATTGAAGGTTTAAAGTAAATAATAAAAAAACCTTTTCCATCCATAAAAGTTGTACTTTGTGCATTGGAGCTGGTACACCGTTAAATATTTCCATTCTTGGCATTACGTCGTTGCTCGCCATCCAATCTTGCGCCAGAACTGATCCTCCTCCTTATGAATTAATACCCCCTTAAATGCGTACTCATTTAAAGCCTTTAATTTACTTTCTTTTTGATAATAACGTATGCACAGTTTCATGTGTGTATTGGAATTGGAGAGATTTCTCCCTCTCTCCGTCGGGATGGATTTCAGGTGATTCTCCAAAATTTGTGAAGTCATAAATTATTCTTCCGTTCAATATTGTTGCGATCTGCAATGGATGTGGTTATTATATCGGATGTCTTCCTCCTTGCCGCAGCTCCTCGTCCGAGATTGGCATACTGTGAAGCTGAGATTGCAGATTTCACGGCATGTATCTTGCAATTCTCTAACTGTTTCAGTTTTAAGAAGGTAATAGGAATGTAATTTTAGTATTTAATTAGAAATTTTGAATCCTCCATTTTTCCCTTCCTCAATTCTAATATTTAGCCATGCCACCTATTTTTAGGCCATGTACATAGTGGGTTGGTGCACTAAATTAGCACATCTCCTTGCAGGTGTTTGTGAAATGTTTGAATATCATTTTTCTGGCATTTTCCTGAATTTCATTAAGCTTTTCCATGCTGTAAATCCAGCATACTCACATATTATTAGGGTTTAGCAATCATGCTGCTGTGTTCTTCAGTAGTCATTTTTCCTTTAAATTGATTTTTAAGATATTGTGTTAAAAATTATTTGGTTAAAAATTATTTTATTCTGGTAGTCAGTATGAGTATATTATCAATGAACTAAACATAGAATATTAAAAAACCAGGCTTTTGATTATGTTAATTTGATGTATTTATTTTAAAATAATAGGGCACGAAGGTTCTCACTATGGTGAATAGTGGAGGCATTGATCAAGTTAATCGAGTATTGGATATCCATAAAATATATAAAATAACAAATGCTGCTATGATGCCGACTAAATGCAATGTCCCATCACCATCTCCCCACTATAAATACATCTGGATGATTAGTAGACAGACATATATTGACCCAGTTCCAGATTTTGAACAGATTAAAATACCAGATTAGGTAAAAGAGATGCTGACACCATTTAATGAGTTTTACGGCATTAGTGCAAGTAAAACCCCCATAAGTAAGTCATTTAATTTCTTTTTCCTTATAAAGATATACAGTTGTTTACTACCACTTTGAATCAGATCTGTACTTTTGTATACAAATTTCATGGCCGTTGTCATAGAAAAATACCGAGAGAGTACATCTCAGTTGTATTCACAGGAAAAAATAGCACATGATTTCACCATTTTTAATGAGGAGTAAGTAATCCGCATGAAAAAATATTTAAAGATACAAAGAAATAACATTTTGAATGATTGGTTGAATACAATGAAGCTTATGCTGCTTACACTGTGGGAAGAGTTTGCAACGAACCAAGGGAAGGAAATCACGTCCCTCTTAGAAACTAGGCATTTCCAAATAATTATTGTAAAAAGGGTTAATTTTACTGCCTTTAATGGTAATATATTATTTAGCAAAGTTTATATACATAGAAAAAGAATTATTGAATTAACCGACAATAAGTTGATGTGGATTTCTAACATGTGTTTCTCTATCTTCTCGATTTGATGCAATGTTTGAAGTGGACCCTGCTCATACAACATTTGAATCCCTTAAGAAATGGTATGAACATACTCTTATGTTAAGAATAAATAGTAGAAATCACATTCATTTGAATGTAATACTTATAATAACTCTTTAATAGGCGAGATGACAGCATAGACCTTTTCAAGAGGGTCATTGGCCTTAAGGCATATAAAGATGCTCTAATTGCACTGCCCAAAGTTAAAACTTTCTGAGGTTTGCCAAGTGAATACCCAGGTATGCACCATGGTTGAGCATCGAATGACTGAAATAGATATGTATTATATTTTCTCGTGTGGATTAAGTTTTAAAATTCACACTCCAAATTTAGGGCAAAGGAGTTTGGGTTACAGTAGATATGAGAATTCTCGATGATGAACCAAATTCCTACATTGGCTATGATTGTTGTAATAGAAAAGTTTGTGGACCACGTGGTGAGAAGAAGTGAGAATTCTCGATGATGAAAAGTTTGATGCTTAAAGAGAAAGGAGTATGATCACATGAGGCATTAAATGGTTATGGACACCAAGGTCTGTCTAAACATAATATGTGCTAGAAGAAAGCTAAGATGTAAATAATATTTGATAATAAATAATACTCCCTCCGTCCGGAAATGATGTTCCAATTGTACGTTTTTTTCTATCCGCAAATGATGTTCCCATTCTACTTTTTATAACATTTTTTCCTAAACTACCCCTCCCATTAAATCTCTTTTCTTCTTTCGTTACCCATTTTCTCCGCCACCCACATCAACTGATTCATCTGTTTCCCTCTCCCACTCGTTCTTCCCCCTCCTCCCCGATCTTCTTTTTCTCCTCCTCTTCTTCTCTTTTTCTTTTTCTCCTCCTCTTCTTCTCTTTTTCTTTTTCTCCTCCTCAACCTTCTTTCTCCATGTCCTCCTACACCTGCTTCTTTTTTTCTTCCCCCTCCTAGATCTGTTCTAGATCTATGGTCTAGCGGCGATGGTGGACCCGATGGCGGCGGCGAGAGCTAAGGCAGCGGTGGATCTACGGTAGATCTATGCTAGATTTGTGGATTCTCTGTTTAATCTTCTTTTTCTCATCTTTCTCCTCTCCGTTTTCTCTCTTTCTCATAGAGATTGTGCGATGGAGGTGGGGGCTGACGGAGGTGGTGCAGCTGTGGGGCGATTCTGGTGTTGGC